CTTTGTTGTCCAATGTTACAATACTGAAAATGAAGAAAAATGTTTATTTAGAATTTGAGATATACTCTGAAAAGATAAACATGAAGGTTCAATGCCATTCTCCGCTTCTCGAGACTTCATACTTTTGGATTTGAAAATTTATTAAGAGAGAATATTAGCAAATGCAGTTCACTTATATTAAACAATTATCGTCTATGATACTATTGATATTATATTAAACTTGATGATTCAAATCGATATTATCTTAGCCATGTGACACATTTATCACAATTTCGTTACTGCTTACTGTGTAGCATTCGATTCATATTTTTTGTCATCCACATTTATTTGATTGTTGGATGAAAAAACAAGTCGTCTAGTGATAATATTGCTAATAGAGCTAAGGTATAGTGACGTTGCTTTTATCGAACACACTGTATAAAACAGATATAAAAATGGTTTGTTTTATCTGAAAACAATATATTAAAAGAAAAGAACACTTTTCATACGACATCGTATGATTCATTAAAACATTATATTCTTAATCATACTAAACCTTATTTTTAAGATAAATGAAAATAATGATATCTATTTGTTTTATTTTATCAACAATAAAAAGCTGCTAACAAGATGAAATACTATTCTAAAACGATCAAAGAAATATAAAATTGTTAGATTCTGAATACGCAAGAATCGTCAACTTGCTCTTGGTTGTTGTGACTAACAACATTCATCTGATCACCTTGTTGTGAATCACACGTTTCTTTTAGCTATTTTTGATTTCTTCTATTCTTTTCTTTTTTTTTTGTCTCTGTCTGTAATACACATAAAATTCATCAAATCTTCTCATTTCAACTTTCGTATAGAAATCATCTTTACGATTTAAAAGAGAGACTATATTATTTCATATACAAAACTTCTTATCTTTTTTTTAATCTTTCATTTCAGTCATTACTAATGTGACGACTTGATTGCCATCATTGTATAATAAAATACCAATTGCTCAGCATAAAATCAATGATTACATCAGTGCTGTATCGATTCTTTCTAGTAAGAATTCATAAAAAAGGAACGAAAAGTTTCATTTGCATTTTGAGAACTACTATTAATGGATCTATTCAGAGTAGTAGTTAAATAAAAATTGTTTCATGCTAAAATTTAACATTTTGATGAACTTGTAATACAGAAATCGTCAAAAATTGGCTGTATTGCCTTTATAAACAGTTAATGATAACCTTTCGTAGATTATTATCATACTTTTTACCCCATTTATGTAAAGTAATATCTATTTAACAAAGATATTTTTCTTTGATTATCTGCTTTCAATTATTTTGAAAATCAACAATAACCTGGTAAACACTATTCATGATGAGATTCTAAGTTCAACGAAGACTAGAATAAAATTTTTCCGTTTTTGATTGGATCCATATTACTCTATGTTTCGCAATAATCTAAATTGAGGGAATTATTTCATCGATATCTTTTTTTTTTCTTGCAATTCCTTTCCGATAATAATACTTGAAGTTTATCATCATTTATTAAAGAATAAAAATAATCAGTTAACATAACTACAGACTTAACACTAATTTTGTTTTTCTCATTCTAATTTTCCAGAGATTTCAGCCTATTTTTTTTTCAAATCGTTTACAATATTTTTGGAGAGTTGGTATAGCATCTTTTTTTGAAAAATGATTTACTTGGTGATAGAGACATATCTTATATGGAATACAACTAAGTTGAAGCGAATTACATGTATCACTGTCTCCAATATAATAACAAGCAAATAGTATACATTAAATGAATGCAAGTATAGTGTTATTCACTTAGTATATTTAATTTTATTGACTTCAATTGACGTTAAAAAGTAGATAGTTAATAGAAAAAACATCTGACACTAATATTAATATATAATCAAAATGAAGTGATTCATTTCATAGATGAGATTAATTTTGATTTCGAAATATATGTCAGCATTTGACTATTTGATATTGAATATAATTATGTCGATCATCTATATTTTCAGTATTATTTTCAGATCTCAAACCTACAAAGCTTTAATCATAAAGTGTACAAACCTGGTTAATGAATGTAAGCTTTAACTCTTAGAGAGTTACAGATTCCCTTTGCATCCTCATATAGATTTCAGAAGTCTTGTTTATATCGACTACTATCTCTACTAACAGTCAGTTAATTGAATGTAAACTTCTTCTAAAGCATCTTTCATCGAATTAAACTTGTATGAGCCAAAGAAAAGGGGAATACATTGGTTGTAGGTGTGGACTTGATTGTCACTTTTTCTATCATCCACTGATTTTCTTTTTCTCGTCATTTATTAGCACATATTTATATTATCTCACTAGTAACGATAAAGATCTGAAAGAAGGAACGTAAACATTAATAATATATACCATTAAAAATCAATAAATAGAATATACAGATCTGATTGAAAGACAATCTTGAAAATAACGGGTGGGGCAAAAGTTTTGCATTAATTTTGTTTTTGATATAACTCTGCAACGCAATATCGTACAGACTTGATTTTTTTTTTGTTAGAAAGAGCAAGGTGTCTAGTGCAAAAATATATAAAAGAATTTGATTTGTAATGTTTTTCGAAGGCTATAATAGTTTTAGAACACAAGGCTCCGAAAAACTCTTCCGCAACTTCGGTCACATTTTTTTAATCCAAAAATATTTGTTTGAGCCTTTTTCATTAGCGACTTTCGAGTACCATATATATACAGTTGCTCATTACAACGGAGGTTTTCATTTGGTATTAAAATAATTGGTATAATATACAAGAGAATGAACAAAAGACACGTTAATAAAAACAAATTAATTGTTCGAATTTGGTTTTGCAGCGTGAAAATAAGTTTTTTTCTGAATATCTCATAGAGAAGTTGCGTCCTATTCCAAATAATATCGTTTGGTAGAGGACTCAATAAACTTTCTTTTTCATATAAAATATATAGCTTCTACCAATCTCTCCTACGAAATAGAGTTTATTTTTTCGATTGCTACCAACAATGATAAAGAATTGATGAAACAGACGATATCATAAAAGCGTTCATTTCGACCGTTATAAAACATGTAGAAAATTTCTTTTTGTGTAACCCAATAGTGCTCTATCCTTATATTATAAAATCCGGATTAGAAGAATAAAAAGATAATCTGTCTAATTATAGGAATTTTTTTCTAAGTTCAAAAAAGTTGTGGAATAGTTTTCCAACGTCTTCTGTTCTAAGATTATTGTAGTTTTCGAAAAACATTTCCAATCAAACTCTTTTGTAAATTCTTGCACTAGACACTTTGCTCTTTTTAACAAAAAAAAATCAAATCTCCACGACATTACATTGCAGAGTTATATCAAAAACACAATTAATGCAAAACTTTTGTCCCATCCGTTAAATATGTTAAAAGAAACAATGTTAGTAAATCACTTGCAATAATTACTAAACAAGTAAATGAAATTTTTCAATAAAATTTTAATCATGCATCTAACATCTTTGTTTTGGACATTTCCTACCAAAACTCTCTCCTCAATATCTCTATTATAATCATAAGAAATATAGAGTAAATGTGTTTGTTTTTTTTCATAAAAAAAAGAAAAGAAATACATTTTTTTAATTAGATTACGTAATGAATTATTTTCTGTAATTATTATTCGGATTTAGTATATTAATCAGAATATTTTTCTTTAAATATATTTCCATGAAAAAAATTTTAAGAAATATAAGTAGTTCTTGCCTTCGTAGAAAATTTATATCTTTCCATTGCGAACTAAGAACATTATTTCTTAACAGCAGCTGAGAGAGTTTGAAAAATCAAATACAAACAAGAAATATCTATATTCTAGTTCAGGTATATTTCTCAAAAATTTGACCGTTTGCGAATGAATTTCGATATCTTTTCCAAATTAATTTGTTTAATCAATGATCAAAATAAAAAGAATACTATCATAATTTCACATAAATTACGTAACAAGAAAAAAAAATCTGAAATTAGTTTTCGTATAGTAATTAACTTGTCGGTCAAAATAGTCTGATCTATTTGATGCTTAACTTTTCATTATAATCAGCTATACAATCGAAACATTCCAATTCATAACATGAAATCCGTAGGTACCAAACTAACAGAAATAACATATTTGTCAACCAAGATATTTGACTAACATATTGCTCGTGCGAGGCAACCGCTCCTGATGTCCTACCCATTCCAATTTCTATATTTTTTTTTTGGCTTGTAGATACTACATGATATTCCAGTGAAAACCCTAATCAGGTTTTCAGAAAAAGCGTGTTTTTGAATTTAGATTTGAAACTACCTTCATTTAAAGATCTCACAAACAGCATCTTGTTTGAAGACTTCCTATCTTCAAGCTATAAGCTTTTCAAAATATTCTTATATCATTCATTATGCTTTGAAAAGTTCATAGCTTGGAAGTACGGAATCTTCAAATTCTGGATATGTTCAGACAGAATTTTATGTGTGAGATGTTCATATGAAAATAGTTTCAAGACAAAATTCAAAAACACGATTTTTCTGAAAACCTGAAGTCTTACAGATGTTTCTGGAAGATAGACATATTAAAAATTTAATAGTTCTATCAAGTGTCAATAGGAATTCAACTCCTTTTAGAGTTTTCACTAATACACTTTGTAGTATCTACAGGCAAAAATTATTGTAATTGGAAGGATGGCATCTGAGGGGAGGGGGGTCCCTAATTAGTGAACATTCTCAAAATATTCTTATAGATTCTACAAAAATCTTTCTCTCTTTTAACGAATTTGCAATTTTTCAGTTCAGTATAATCATTTGAATTATTTTCTTTGTTCATGGTTATATACATATGCGTGCATATATATATATATATATTCGTTTAGTTTTTTTTTTCTTAAAGAAGACGACAGGACTACAAAAGAAAAAAAAAAGAAGAAAAAAATCTGGCTATTTCAGGAAACAAATAGCACAGATACATATAATGATATATAATTCAATGTACAGACAAAAACAAAAGTTTTATTTTAATATGATGAAGGTATTATTGTTGTAATTGAATTTGTTTTACCCATTCGTCGTTTTCCTTGATAAATAATTTTTCCTGATGCAACCATATCAATTGCTTTTGGATATAATTGTTGTTCAAGTGTACGTAAACGATTTTCTAATTGAATTTCGGTTTCAAGTGGTGATACTGAAACACTTTCTTGTGCAATAATTGGTCCATCATTATCAGTATCGGATTCACCAATAAAATGAACTGTAATACCAGTTATACGAACACCAGCTTGTAATGCATCACGAATTGGTGAAGTACTATGACGAAATGATGGTAATAATGATGAATGTATATTTAATAAACGACCACGCCATGCCATTATAAATGAAGGTGATAAACGACATGCATAACGATCAAGTATAACTAATTCACAGCCATGTAATTGTAATTCATCATCAACTTTTTGATCCTTAAAATAAAAATTGTTAGTATAATCCTAATGGAATTAAAATATGAAACACGATGTAATTGTTATTGCTAATCGTAGAAAAGATTGTTTTATTCTATGACACGTTTTCTTCCCCATCCTTGTATTTTATTCTCCGGAAATGCAATAAGAAACAAGTTTCTCTGCGTCGGATCAAAGGTTAAAGCTCAAAGGTTAAAGATTCTAGAATTTTAGAAAGCAATACTATAAGAATATAAGGCTACATGGGGGTAAGACCATTAAGGTTTCTCTATATATATAATGCGGACTGTCTGATTGTCTATTACCGAATCAAGGCTAAAGGACACATGTGAAACTTTACAGGAAAAAAAAGATCCATGCAGTATGCACGGGCTCTCACTAGTATATGATAATGAGATGTTATTGATATACGATGTTTGATCGTATGTCAACAATACCTATCAGAGTCTGTGATGGAGAGGAAGAGGTGGTGCAAATTTCTACTCAATATACTTCAACATTCTATGTAGATCGTGTTTCACAAAAAAAAAAGGTTTTTTTTTTTTTGAATAAAATAAATCAAATTATTTACTAGATCATAATGTCGTGCAGCATATTTTTTTGGTTGAATAACTTTTGTAACAACTGATGGATATAATTCATTAACACGAGCTATATCTGATAGACTAGCTAATGTTGAAAGAACAAGAACAATTTCAAATGCACATTCAAGTGTTGATGTACTATAAGCAAGAAGTGAAAGTAATGAAGTATCTAAACAAACAATAACAATAAATTCATAGATGAGAAAAACAACAATAAAATTGTTTCTTTTTTTTTACCATTAGTTGAAATAAGTACAGCACAACGTGTTTTATCATTAGCAATTGGTTGTTTCATACGATCTTTAATAACAATTGGTAATGTATTATTTGTAAGAGCAGTAGCTGTTTGATATGGTTTTGGATATTTAAAAGAAATATTTTTTAATTGAATAGTACGTGGTCGTGGTGATATTATGATTGGTTGTTGTGGTAAACGAATTGGTTTACGTGTTGGAGTTGTATCTTAAAAAATTGAATATTTGTTTATTATTATTATTATTTAAATAAATTTAAGAAAAGAAAAACAAAATAATACTTATTGATATAAATGTTCCAAGAAAATAACTTGATGTATGTGTTTCAGTTAATTGACGAAGAATATCATCAATATTTGTTTTTGTATGATCAACAAGAAGTAAATAATCAACACCACAATTAAAATATTCAAACATTTCATCCTGACTAAAACCACTCTGAACAACAAAAAAAAAACAAAAAGAATTCATAAAATCTGATTTTTTTTGCTTTTTCTTACATGTTGATAAATCCAAGTAAAAAGAGGTGGCATCACAGGCCATTGTTGTCCATTTAATTCAACATTTAATGTTGATGATAATGAACCAAGTAATGATTCAATCATACGTGCAAGACCAATGTCTAAAAATTAATTTAAAAGGAATAATAAAACAGTAAATTTATGTTATTCAAAATTACAACAATTCAAAATCAGATAATATAGAACAATCATTTCGAAACTTTGAAAGATAAAAAAGTCATTTTCATTGTAACACAAGAAGATTTCAGTATCATATCATTCTATTTATCAATTAAAATTTCATGACAACCAAGTTCAGTTTAACGAGTATATAAAGTGATGAGAAAAAGTTTAGAAACAACGATTTTTTTTATAATGTTAAGCACATAGCTCCAATCCAAATAGTGATTTTAATAGCTAATAGAGTTTTCTATTCAATACACTTTATAGCAAGATTTCACAGATGAACAATGATGGCAAGGCTCCTT